GCTTTGTGGAAAGAGAACAGGGATTTCTAAATTCTAGATCTTCTCCTTTAACCCACTGATAGCCCTACCTGGCTGGATAGAGGGGTGAATTTTAGAAAAGGAAGGTCCGTGTCAGAGAGAAGTCCCATCTCGTTGAATGCTAGAATGAAGCATATGAGGAGTAAGAAGAGACAGAGCAGGGACAAGAGATCACACAGATTCTAATTCCTAGGGTCAGACACTCAGGGGTGTGTGTGTGTGTGTGTGTGTGTGTGTGTGTGTGTGTGGTGTGTGTGCATACATGCTCATAGGTGAAGAACAGGGGAGTGAGGTGGTGAATCTGCAAATTAAAGTGAAGAGTGGGCTTGTGTCACATGTACCTGGGCGTACCTTAGAGGAAGCTCCCCGTTCCCAATCAAAGTCCCACCTCTCCAGGGTGAAAAGAGGCAGTCATAAGGCATCTGCTGAGGAAGTGGTTGGATGAGGGAGCCTGGAGCAGCACTCCCAGCTCTCCATGGCTGGCTCAGGAAGAACAGAGGGCTCAGATGATCTTACCAGGCCCAGAGAGGATGCCGAGAGGGCTGGGAGCCCACAGAGGCTTGTGGTCAGCAAAAAGGGACTGTTAAGGGTGGAGACTTTGAGACCAGGGCTCATGGCCAGGCCCTGCCACACTTCTCAGTCCTTTCTGCTGATGATCCTTTATTCTTTTGTATTCTTTATTCTTCTTTGTATCTGAACTCTGGACTTCGTAACTCCCTGTCTTAGTGATATAATCCAGTGTCACAGCTTTAAACACTGCCCGTGCACTGCAAATCTCACCTGCACATCTCCAGTCCTAGCTCTTCCTTGAACACCAGACTGTTAAAACCAGTTCTTTCCTCACCATTTCTACTTACAAAATAAAAGTATCCACTGGGCATGGTGGAACACACCTGTAATCACAGCGCTTTGGGAGGCAGAGGCAGATTGATCACCTGAGGTCAGGAGTTTGAGACCAGCCTGACCAACATGGTGAAACCCTGTCTCTGCTAAAAATACAAAAATTAGCCAGGCGTGGTGGTGCACACCTGTAGTCCCAGCTACTCAGGAGGCTGAGACAGGAGAATGGGTTGAACCTGGGAAGCAGAGGTTGTAGTGAGCTGAGATCATGCCACTGCACTCCAGCCTGGGTGACAGAGTGACACTCGAAAGGAAGGAAGGAGGGAAGAAGGAGGGAGGGAGAGAATGAAGGAAGGAATGAAGGAGGGAGGGAGGGAGAGAGGGACCACCCAAAACTGAGCTGGGTGGCTCAAGCACTTTGAGAGGGTGAGACTGGCAGATCCCCTGATGTTAGGAGTTAGAGACCAGCCTGGCTAACATGGTGAAAGCCCATCTCTATTAAAAATACAGAAATTAGCTAGGCATGGTGGCACATGCCTGTAGTTCCAGCTACTCAAGAGACTGGGGCAGGAGAATCACTTGAACCTGGGAGGCAGAGGTTGCAGTGAACCGAGATCGTGCCACTGAACTCCAGCCTGGGTGACAGAGGGGAACTCCGTCTTGGAAAAAAAAAAAAGTATTCAAAACTGAACTCCCTGACCTCTTCTCCCCCTGGAAAACCCCTCCTCTCAGTCTTCCCTTTTTCTACATGGAAACACCAGTCTTCTAGTTGTTCAACAAAATCCCACAGAGCATACGTGATCTCCTTTTCTCCCCTGCCGTTAGTAAAGATCCTTGCCTACTCCAGCCCCAGTGCTGCTGACCTGGCCTGTGCCCTGTCATCTACCCCAGGATTTTGCAGTTGCCTCCTGACTCACCTTTCTTCTCTCACCCTTGCTCTCTACAGTCTATTCTCCACACAGCGGCTACAGTGAGACTTCCAACATGCACTTGACACAGAATCCTCCAATGTCTTCTCATCTCATTTAGAGTAAAAGAAAAACTCCTTCCCATGGTCCACCAGGCCCACCAGCCTGGCTTGCCCGCTGCCTCTCCTGTTCACCTGCTCCCGTTCAGCCAGCTGGAACTCCATGCTCTTCCTCCAGCATCACACATGCTCTTGCCTGAGGGCTCTTGCACTTGATTGTCTCCACACCTGGAAGACCCTTCCCGGGATTCAGACCTTCACTTTCTTCAGGACTTAGCTTCAAATGGCTTCTTACTAATGGGGACTTCCCTGAATAACGATGGTCTCACCGTGCATGCCCTATTTCCCTTAGCCTGCTTCTCCACCCCCCGTATTGCTCATCTCCCCAACATACTGCATATTTTTAGTCTATTTATTGTCCATAGCACATCCAGAAGAATGTAAGATCCGTGAGGCCAGAGGGTGAGGACTTTGTTTTCTTCACTGCTGTGTATTCAGCACCCAGAATGCACCCAGTACACAGTAGGGGTTCAATCAACATTTTTGAGGAATGATTAAACAAATGTTCCAGGTCCCCCATCTCTGCTACCACCAAATCCTAAAGACTCTCCACCTTCCCATGCACCATCCTAGAAAGGAATCAGCAGTGGAGGAAATCTGAACAACTGAACTTGAAACCAGAAAGAGTCTGAGTGATCTAGAAGCAGGACTATCTGTGGCAAAGTAAGCTGTGAAACCATACACTGAGCAAATGTCACTTTTATTTCTCTTAGTAGTTACACAGTGGGATGGGGGCTGCTTGATAAAGAGATCAGTTATGAGAAATTTAAAAGCTACATTTTCTTGGCACGTCTGAGTGAACTGTGGCAACAAGCATATTTCTACACATGCTCCTTGCATGAGTCTGAGGAGCACATGTGACCACCTGTCTTTGTGTCCAATGTGTCAGAGGATGCATGAGACCAAATCTCTCCTTTGAAACTGCTAGCTAGCGGGGGTGCTATGATACATGTTGTAGAGTTGGAGACATCCTTATGAAAGTAAGTGGTCGATTCGATTATACAATCACATAACCATAAAATCTTTTAACAAACTTATCCCAGTGTGAAAATATTAGGAAAAATGCATGCTCCCCCAAGCTGGGTTGTAGGAGGGACAGCTGAATGGACACAACAATGTCAGGTGTCTGTTACCTGACTGAGTGGGCCAGGCTTGGAGCTGACTGTCAGAACAGTGATGTCTAGATAGCCCCCTAGCAAACAAAATGAGATGTGACTTCTCAGAACTCACTTGTTTCCATCCTTTGGAATCATTTCTTAGAACAGCCGCTCCAAGAAACGTGAGTAACCATCCTATGGTTTGAAAAGGATCAAGAAACGGCTGGTTGCTATACTTAAAAGGAAAGAAGGGTCCATCTGAACTCTTGCTGGCAAGGAATCCATGTCCTGATTTGCATATATGGAACATGTAGGGATCTCAGCCAACAAGAGCTTTATTTCTCATTGTGAGAGGGGTGTCTACATGTGACTGTTCTGACATACTGTCACTGTCACCTGTCTTCTTCTACAGTGAGGGCACTGCTCTCTAACCGACAAATGTGGATTGCACACCAAGCCCGTTCCTGTCCTCTGTGGCAGGACATTGCCTTCAGGGAGTCACTGTTTTAAATCTGAGCTACCCTTATGCTTTCTCATGGATGTGTGAACTGCACAGGCTGAGCTGCTCCCACAAATCCCTGCTAAGGGCAGCAGTATGAGGTGATTCCTGTAGTATTGATCTATGACTGACTCACAGATTACCCCAAACCTAGCCATTTAAAACAAAGTATCAATTACCTCACAGTTACTATGGGTTAGGAATCTGAGTTGGTTTAGCTGGTGCTTCTGGCTCAAGGTCCCTGGCCAGGGCTGTAGTCTCATCTGAAGGCTCAAAGGGAGAAGAGCGGCTTCACGGTCCACTCAAGTGGCTGTTAGCAGGCCTCCAAAGATCTGCTTCCAAACTCATTCATGTGGGCTGCCTCCATGACATGACAGCTGAAACCGCAGAAAGAGTAATCAGATAGAGAGCAAGAGGCCAGGCATGGTGGCTCATGCCTGTAACCCCAGCACTTTGGGAGGCTGAGGCAGTCAGATCACTTGAGGCCAGGAATCCAAAACCACCCTGGCCAACATGGCAAAACCCTGCCTCTACTAAATATATATATGTTATATATATATATATAATTATATATATTTATAAATATATATATTAATATAATTAATATATATTATATATATATATATAATTTAAAATATATAATATATATGTAATTATCTGGGTGTGGTGGTACAGACCTGTAGTCCCAGTTGCTTGGGAGGCTGAGGCACAAGAATCACTTGAACCCAGGAGGTGGATGTTGCAGTAAGCTGAGATCACACCACTCAATCCATCCAGGCTGGGTGACAGAATGAGACTCTGTCTCAAAA